CCCCCCCCCCCAAATGTCACCTGAAGAAAAGCCGAGGTGGGCGGCCAGGGCTTCCTGTGACCCCCTAACGTCTCCTACCTCCTCACCTGGCCCAGGAGCACCTGGGAAAGCATGCAGTGAGACCAGCCCGACCCAGAGCCGGGGGCTGGTCCAGCCTGCTGAGCCCCAACACCCCCGGGAGCCCTCACGGCTGGTCCAGGCCCTGGGCTGTAGTAGGCTAGAGGGGAGCTGACAGGTCCCGGGGTTCTCCTGATGCACCCGGGCCAGCGCCCTCCTCAGGCTCCACACCCAGGCATGTACCGCAACACCACGGCCCCGGGGACCCAGCTGCCAGGTGGTGCCAGCAGAGACCCCAAGTTGACCAGGCCCTGCCACTGGCCCTGTGCGGCTGTGACAGGGTTGCCCTGCTCTGGCCCCACGCGAGGGGCGCCAGCCCGTCAGGAGGCGGTCTGGTCTGCTGAGGGGTTGGGCCCATGGAGGGACTCGGGCGGGGGGCAGCGGGCACACACCTGCAAGACAGCGGGCAGCACCAGCTCGGGGAATGCAATGCTGTGGGCCTGACCGTGCAGGTACTCCAGGCTGAGGTCGTACAGCTGCTCCACCAGGCCGTCCTGAGGCAGCGAGGGAGTGGACAGCGTCAGGGCAGAGGTGAGCTCAGACCTCGGAGCCACACTCGGGCTCAGGCTCATCAGGCTACCCCAGCCCCGGGAGGCCCACAAGGTTCAAGCCTGGAGGGCAGCGGGCCTTCTCCCATCCACACTCATCTACCTCCAGTCACCCCGCACGTTGACCTCGGTGCCCTGCGACATCCTGCCGTGACCCCGCCCAGAGCGTTCCCGGACCCCTTTGGAGGCTGGGCTCACCCGGTACGCCTTCTCCTGCAGGTTGACCTTGGACAGCTTCAGGATCACAGCAAAGTTGATGGGCCTGGAGCTCATGCGCCCCGGCCTCCTGTTGAAGTCGACCTGTTGGAAAATCTGCCCCAAGGACCCGTCAGCCCAGCCTGCCCACCCCAGTACCCTGGGTCTCTAGAGACCCATCTTGAGACCAAGGACAAGTGGCCAGACACAGTGCCAGCCCCACGGCCTCACAGACACCAGCCCCTGCCCCCACAGCTCCAGATCTCTGGCCCCCAAGGGAGTCCCTCTGCCCTAGAGCAGGGCCCTGGCCAATGGGGAAGGACCAGGCCACACCCTAACACACTGCTGCTGTCCCCCTCCTGAAACCAGGCCAGGAAAACATGAGAACCAGTGTCTGGAGACAAAGAAGGGTCCCTCTTGCACAGGGTCACCATCACTGCAATTTCCTCACCCACAATCGCATCCCCACAGCCTGGTCCCGGCCCTAGTGGACCTCTAGCCTTTGGACTGAAGCCTCTCCCTACCTAAGCTACGTACACACGTATACACACAGGTACACGTGCACAGAGGCAGCAAAGGGAACACAGCTTTGGAATCAGACGGGACTTTCAGCCCAGCTCCGCCGCTCACTCTAATCTTGGGGAAACACCCAGATCGACCCAAGTCTGTGCCCTAAAACCAGCGCCCTCAGGCCAGCCCAGCAGAGCAGCTGTACTCACCTGCGGTGCCACCCTTGCCTATCGGGCAGGCACCGCGCAGAGTTAACGCCCTCACAACACCTGTGTGCTATATGGGCAAAGAGCCAGCACTCAGGAGAGCTGCCCCGAGCTGAGGAGTGGTCGGGCCACGTGCGGCAGGAGGCGCCTTCCCTCCCGCACCCTCCGCCCCACCTCGAGCACCTGCTCACCTCAAGGATGAAGGGCAGCACCGGGATGAAGGTGCCCGTGCTCTCCGAGAGCAGTGTCAGGGCGCGCACGCAGTGCATGCGCAGCGGGTAGAAGCGGGCAGTGGGGACCAGCCTGGGGATGTGGGAAGGCGAGAGTGAGCAGAGACCCCAGACTCAGAGACCCCCAAACCAGCCTCACCCGCCTGGCCCCGCTGCCTCTGAACTCTCCCCACCCACTGGGCTCCAACCTCAGGAGGGGCTCCTCCCCGGCAGGGCCAGCGGCCACACCAGCCTCAGACAGATAAAAGCAGGACGAAAGGCCCCAACCGAAGTCGCAGTTCTAAGAACCTGCCTCCTTGCTCGGTTACGGGTGGGAGGTGGGGGGGTGGGCACCCCTGGGCACCCCACCCCACCCCACCCCACCCGGCTAGCGACTCAATTTCATTTTAACACGTGAGACAGCAAAACTGTTCTTTCTTCTCCCTTCAGGAGGACAAGGATGCCCTCTGCTGGCCACATGTGGCTCCGCCTGTCTCTGCCCCCACAGACCAGCACGATATTCATAGGCAAACCAACCGTGGCTCGTCACTCCAAACCTGCTCTGTCCAAGACGTCCAGGCAGATAACCCCAAATCCTTTCAAACTTCACACAGTCCCCTCTACCCCGCGTCCCCAGAATGCACGTGTGTGTGGCGTCCTGGACTAAGGTACCAGGTCACAGGCAACCAAGAGGCCCAGCTGACAACGATTCTGGGATGCCGGGGACAAGGCCACGGACAGCCTCAGCCCAGACCTTCCTCAAGTACTGCCAAGTCACAGACACCACACCTGGAGGCCCCAGCTGCCAGCGGCACTGGCCAGACCCTCTGTGAACAACCCCGACCCTACCCTGACCTCCAGGACACCTATGTAACCCTGGCCCCACCTCCTTCGGCCCTCGGGGCAACCCCCCAGCTCCTACTCACTTGATGCAACCGATGACAACCTGGGACAGGGGGTAGATCAAGGGCTGCAGAGCTTCACTGGGGCAGATGGTGCTGAGGGCACGGCACCACAGGGAGAGGCAGTGCACGAACTGCCAGTTGTACACTGACTGGTGCGTCTCCTGGGCAGAGTGCAGTCCACCCAGGTCAGCCCTGGGGTCCCCTTCACTTACTCCACAGCCCCCACCAGCAAGGACCCTGGCGCCCTCCACCAAGGGGCTGAGCTGCCTCTCGCAGGAGGCCCGGCCCCCACCCCCCAGCCCACCCCGGCAGTGGGTCAGGCTCCGCCCCCGCCCTGCCCCCACCCACCTTCTTGCGCGTGGTCATAGCATTGCGCAGGTGGATGGCGAGCTGGCGGATGTAAAGGAATGCGTGCTGGTAGGCGACGCCCGCGTCCAGGGCCAGCAGCTCTGTCAGAGTCCGCTGCATGAAGTTGACGAGGGGCAGGGTGCTGGGGGAGGTGAACCTGCAGTTCCTCACGTACGTGACGTACATTTGCTGCCGGAAACACCTTAGTCAGAGCCACCTCTGAGCTCCCAGGGCCCCATGCCCCCACCACCCAGCTCCAAGCCCCCTGCAGACACCCGGGCCTTTCCCTCAGAGCTGGCCTCAGCAGG